TGTGATTTTTATCCAAAAGCAGCTTACAATTTAAGATGGAGGAATTATGACACTTGCTCTATTGTTATTCTTTTTTATTTCTTGGATTCTTGTAATAAAATCCACAATGAGTAGCTTAATTAATGTTTGAGTCTCAAATAATTACGGATACATGTGTTAAAGTAAGTCACACTCATATTGTAGTCTTTGATTTTAAAAGTTATAATTTTTTTTAAGAAAATTAGTTATAATGCACGTTTGTTTTTTAATCTATCAAAGATTGGGTCCCAGTTAGCCGAATACTTACAATTTAAACTCATGCACGTTTGTCATCATCATTTTTATTCACATCCTTTCTTTATTTTTTTTTTGTCCTTTTATGGATTAAAAAATTAATTCAAAAAAGGAATGGAAATAGCCCGCCAGCCGCCTCCCCCTTGAATGACGGTCACCCCAACTTCAATAGAGTAGCGATAAATAAATACCTCAAAATGAAATAATTATTTTGGAGTGCTTAAGGCTTATCTGACATTTTTTTTTTGTAAAATTATGATTCTGAACCTCAACAAAATAATAAAAAGTGTAGTTATTAAAATCTAAACTAAAAAAGTAGTTAATAACAAAAATAAAATTTTAATATAAAAAAAAATTATTTGGTTAATTATATAACAAGAAGTACAATTTTTATATATCCACGTCAACTTAGTTATTAAAAACCTTAGTTTAAATATTAATAACATAGCTAATAATAAATTATTGAAAAAATATAATTTTAAATTCCTACACTTTGTTCGTGTTTTGCTTTATATTTATGTACTTTTTTTGATATTATAAATCCTTATACTTTTATTTTTTGGCATTTTAAATTCTTCCAAAGTCCTTACACTTTGTTCATTTAGTGACCTAGAACATTAAAAAATAAAAGTATAGAGACCTAAAATATAAAAAAAAATACAGGGACTTATAGTAAAATGTGAGTAAAGTAAAGAAACTCAAAGTTATGCTTTCCTTAAATTTAATTTAGTCATGCAATAACTTTAACTTGTCTTAACAACTATACTTTCTATGATTTTGTAGATGGTCAAAAATGTTCGCAAAAAATTTATGACTGATAAGTCTCCTGGAATTTCAAAATAATTATCTCACTTTGTGGTGCTCTTTCACCATTTGTCAATTTTGAAGGGATTTTTTTGTTAAGTGGGTTTTTGGTTAAATAAAAAGAGTAAAATAAGATTTACATATGATTGTTTTGAGATTTACGAGTAGTTGTTGTTATGTTCATAATTAACTTTCCATCAATTCCTTGCTTTTCAAAATTTTATAGGTGAGTATATGTACTGATTGACCAAATATTCACATGATAGAATTAAGATTCATAATTTGCTCCTCTAAATTTTTTCACAACGTTTGAAAAATATTATTTACAGATAAAGTTTAATAAGAAATGGATTGTTAATTTTTAAAATGAGAATATAGACTTATTGTTTAGCAAATAATGACTTGTTATTGGTCATTGTTTGTAAATAACATTCTTCAAACGTCAATCTTGAATGCAATTTTTTCAATTCTCAAATTTCTTTCCTAAGAACATATCACAGGTTGTTTTCTTTAATTCCTCCAATGGTTTGACTAAATTTTGAGGACAAAAATTTACAAATGATTGTTTTGATATTCAAAACTAACTGATGCATATCCAGAATCAACTGTCATTGAATCCCAAGTGGCTTTTTAGCGAGTACATGTACTAGCTGACCAAAAATTCATATGTCATTTCTAGGATGCAACATTGACTATAGTAAATTTCCAAAGTTACTTTTCTAAGAAGCACAAGTTGCTTCTCTTAATTTTATAAAATGATTTGTTTATATATTAATAAATACAAAAATTCATAAGTGATTAGTTTGAAATTCATAATTGACTGTCGTATATTCACAATTGACTCTTCAATAAATTCCAAGTGGTTTTTCAAAATTTCAAAACTAAGTTTGATATTTGATCAACTATTTTTTTGCATTTGTTTATAAGGGAAATTTTGCAAACTGTTTTTAATTGTAAGCAAGGTCGACCATAGTACTTTAATAGGATTTCAATAATTTAATGTCTAAAATTATCATTAATGTATCTATGGGATCTGCAACTGTCATTTTCCCTTAGTGATTAAGGATAAAATTAATATCTAATTAGTCATAATCAAAATAATATAACTTAACTAAAAAATATTTATATTTGACTATGATTTTTTAGCACTGATGTACAAATTCATAGACTGTCATTTTATCTCATTAACAAATTAAAATTGCAGCATATTAATCTATAAATTTGGAAAATTTCAGCATTTTAAATGACTGACCAAACCTATTAAATTAGAAACCAACTTCTAGTCTGATCCGGTCAATCCCCTTAAACCGAATAGTTGACCAACCGGTCAACAACTGGCTAACCCCAAGTAAAAACCAGCTTAACAGATAAAAAGCAAATCAATTGTAAGCTTATGAATCAGATTAAACTTTTTTTTTAAAAAAAAAAGAAGGCAAAAATTGTAATTTTCACACGGGTGAAGAGTTGTGATCTTTGGATTTAGACAAGCTAACCCCATGCCAACGCCCGCTGCGCCCTCTGCGCATACACCCTCCGGTCATATTACGGGCAATCATCTAAGTGGAGAATTCGCTATCTTTCGATGTGGGACTCGGGGGGTTTTAACATCAGCACTTTGTCTTCTTCGCTTGCATTTTTTCCCCCATGAGTTATTTTAATTATTTCTTGAATTATTTTTTTAGTGCGAGCGCATATAATTAATCCCTATACTTCAAATTATTTATCTGTATTTTTTAAACTTCATTATAATTAACTTACTTTTAAAAAATCTTCAAAAAGTGCTTGATACTTTATCATTTCTATATACATAATGAATAAGTGCTTTTAAATATATTAAATAAGTTCAGATATATTTTAGAAAATTCCATCTTTAATATAACATCACATGACATTAAAAATATATTAATTAGTCATGCTTGGTTCAACCACAATCTGACCGTTAATTCTTGAATCAATGTCTTGTTCGATTCAATGAACGATTCGATTTTTAAAACCTTAGAAAATTTCATATCCATTAGATAGATCAAATTCCAATGCAATTATTGATCAGTTTTAATTAACACAACTTTTAGCCCCATACCTCAAGTTAATTTATATTCCACGTTTTTAACCCTAGCAAATATGATATATTTTGTTTTTTGCATTCTAAGACAGCGGCAGTCAATGCATGCGTAACCTCCATTTCATACTTTAGCTTTAGTCCTAATCCAATATGATGAGCACTTATTATCTTGCGAGAATTCGAATTCGCCTCACGTTTTGATTGCAGTGGTAGTTCTTTAAATTATCTCTGACATATAATAATATTGAATATGGGTGATTATTTTCCAGTTCTAAAAAAATTTGTTGAAACATTAATTTTTAAAAAATTGTATACATCTTTTCAATTATATCCTAATTAAATGTTCTATAATAATGTTTTAATAATAATGAACGTTGAAATGTCGAGAGATTATTTTTTTAAGAGCAAATAATAAATGAAGTAAAGTTATAGTTGAAAAAAAAAGCTATAACAACTATCTAATACCTTATATTTTGGACTAAGTAAATTTTTTATTTAAAAAAAATCCCTTTCCATATGGGAGAGTCGATTCTTGTAAAATTCACAATTAGTAGCTTAAGGTTCGAGTCTGAAATAATCACGGATACATGTATTAAAGTTAAAATAAGTCGCACTCAAACTGTAGTCTCTTTAATTTGATTTTAGAAGTTATAATATTTTTTTAAGAAAATTAATTATAATACACGTTTTTTTAATTGTCAAGATTACTTTGATTTGGTTTTGTCTTCCTCAGTTGGTTCCCAGTCAGTCGAATTAATGCTTATTATTTAAACTTATGCACGTTATATTTGATGGTCGGGGATAAGATCGATGTTAGGTGGACTATGATTAAAATAATATAATTTAATTAAAATATATAAAATATCTACATATGTTTAACATTGATATGCAAATTCATAGACTGTTGCTTTCGCTGGGCGTTGATTGACATTCTCCTGTTATTTTCTCGGATTACGTAATGCATGCACTGTTACATAAATGAAATTTAGGAGCACACATTTAGTAACAAGTATCATAGCAAATGCTCCTAAGTGTGTGTTTGCTCTGAGGAAACGCTACCTCATATACTTGTTTATTTATTTTATTTTTTTAAAAAATATATATTCAAGAGGTAGTGTTTCTTTCAAAGAAAAAGCTATACATCTTGTCATGCGGTCCTCTTTTAAGTCTATATATTCCCTAGTAGTATTTATAAGTTAGGCAGAGAGTATCTGATTAATGACGTTGTGAGAAGCGGCAGCAGCATTTGCTAAAGTATATTCGTGTTGGTAAGAGATTTATCTGAATATGGCCGATGTAATAATTAGTTACATGCCAAAGAGATAACATCGCACTGGTCCAATCCCTAAGCACGTACTTCCATTATGTTTGTTGAAAGATAATTGAATACTTCCAATCGCAGTAATAATTAAGAATCTAAGAACAATCTTTTAATTTGTCTCGCGCGGTGGCTAATTATGGGCGAGGATTACTACTAATTAAACTTTACTCCACTGTTTCATACATTTTAAAAAAATTAATTTTTTTTATATTATAAAAAAGTGAGATGTACTTTCATTTTTATCCTTTGCTTTTAAATAATAATATAACTGCATTAAATACATTCATGCTGGTGAAGAAGAAGAGATAAATTTAGAAAAAATAGTTTAATTATTATAAAGTGTCCTATATTTTAGATTAAAAATTACTTCTACAAGGTGTATTATAAATAATAAAACCGAAGGAGCATAACACACGTTTTTCATCATCAGTCAATATAATCAAGATAAGGCGGTTTCCTTCTGGAACTAACAGGATTAATTAGTAGTCTTCCTTCTCATCCATCATTCCACTTGTAATGTATATGTCTATATATAGACCTGACAAAGGGAGAGCGAGATATATACCGTCCTTCAGCAATCAACAAATTCATTTCCAAGTCTAATAATCAAGCAAAATGGTAGGCATTATACCATCATCTTCATCATTTTCTTCCCTCATTAACATGCTCATGGGTTCTTACTCTTTGGTTTGTGGTCAGGGGTCCTTGGGAGCAGTAATTTCATTAGGACCTTGGGGAGGTCCTGGTGGCGACAATTGGAGTTTCAAGGCAAGCCGAGGGATAACACAGATAATCGTCCATGAAGATGTTGTTATAAAATCAATTTTTTTCAAAGACGCCAATGGTTATGTTCTGGAAAATTCGGCAGTGCTGGGGGTCAAGAGAGGAAGGTGATCACTTAATTGCTTAATTAATTGATTGAATATATCAATTACAATTGTCATTTAAACTTACCTTATTATGATGTAATTGTAGACTGAAATTCGTTGGCCTTCAGAGTATTTGAAATCCATAAGCGGGACCTATGGAAATCACACTGGAAATCTAGTAATTAGGTCCCTATCGTTGATCACAAATCTCACCACTTATGGACCTTTTGGAACAACTGCTGGTGGCGAGCCTTTCTCTATCCCAATAGCAGATAGTGTCATTGTTGGGTTCCATGGGAGAGCTGGTTTTTTCCTGGATGCAATTGGCTTTTTGTGCAACCCGTAAGTAATAATTTTTTTTTTTCCTTACCTCAGTATTTTTACATTCATACATATACTCCCTCTTCCAGTCAAAATATAAGCATTTTTTTCACATAATCTTGATTGAAAATATAAGCAACTTATTCTGTAAAGAATTTTTTTTTACTTATCCCTTGTGTGTAATAACCTAGATACTTGTATTTGTGAATTTATGATATTTTTCTCACTTATCATATATTGGAACTAATGGAGAAAGGAAAAAATAATATATATTTTCATGAAAA